ATCAGTTCATGGTTTTGTTTTTGTTTTGTTTTTTGTTTTTCCTTCCTTATAATCAACACCCTTTTCCTGTAAGTTTGAATACTTTTGCTTACCTTGAGCTTGCTGCTTGCTCTTTTGTTTTGTAGATTTGTTTACCATAGTTTAATGCCGGGTTTATTCTGGCAGGTCCTTGCTCCTCTGCTTGTGTTAGCGTTCCTCGGAGAAAGGCTTCGATCTCTTTATGAGGACGATGCTTTCACCAGGAGTCAAAGGAATCCAGGATTGTCTGTTTGGCCAACGCGTCCGGACATGACTGATACACCTGCTGACTAAATCGGTGTATCTATGCTGCTTATTCTCCTCATACATACATTCATGTCCTTGTCGGCTTCATCCCTCATTCTAATGTTACTAAGCGCTCAACGCATTATTGTAGAATCCAAATCCATCGGCATTTACCCTGACAGTACTAGTATTTACCCACCACCTTTCTCTTCCTTTCGAAACCATTCAGATGGTCATATTGTTCAACAGCTTCGGTATGTTGGATTGATGACCATGATTGTTAATCTCTTTTTCCCATTATATCCCTACATTACTCGGCTATCCATCCATGCACAGTATCATTTGGGATTGTTCTTTCATGTTTTACACTCCACTACATTGTCTCCTCAGGATTTACGTCGATTAATGTCTTTCGCATTTATTTGTGCATTATATTTGTGCATCGTACAGTGTTGCACTAGCATCAGTTTCCCCGCCATCTTGAACCTTTCAAAAACATAACCCACATTACATTTCACTGGAAAAATCTGCAAACGTTCAAGGAACAAACAAACGAACATATTAGCAACTCTCAGCACAAAAACAGATGCATCGACAACTTCAATCAGAGGCCATTTCACTACGTTTGCTTCTGACAGGGATTTTCTTTTCTGTCATTCCTTGCCTACCTCATAGTTATCGTAAAGAAGATATTTGTACTTTTGTTATTACTCTGTTAGTCGGTACCAGATGATAGAAGTACTTGTTTCTACATTTAGTGTTTTTAGTGGTACGAACATTCTTTTAGAGATCATGTTGCTTACCGAGTAGTCAGTCTAGATAGATCGATAAATGATGTGAATATAGAATTAGATGAGCCCAGTGCCTGGCCATGTACAGCTTCAGAAGGAAGGATCCGTCACTAATTCTTGTCTCTTTTCCCTTCACAGCTGATCAAGGAGCACTTACCTCTCGACAGCACCGTATAGTGTTCGCCTCCTCGCTGCGGTTTCCCCCTGGCCCCCTCATTTCCCACATCCGGCGGTGCTGCATACTGCTGATGCTCCTGCATTGTGCATGGCGTCAGGAGGTCATGGCGCTGACATCGCAGCCCGCAACGTCAGACCAAAGAGTAGAGGGCAACACGCGATGTCTGCCTGACACCGCGAGATGCCGTAAGAAAGTGGAAGTGCGAATATAGAAGAGAAAGTCCCCCACCTGCCAGCCCCTCCCAAGACGCCCTCGACCCGCCAGCCTTCACGCCCACAGCCCGGACGCCCGTGATGTCTCCGTCCCTCCGTCAACCACCCGCCCTGGAGCGCCGCCCATCCCCCGCTGCCTGACTGTCCGCGTGCACGCAGTCTCGTGCACCTCAACTCTACGTAACCAAACTTCACGATTGTGTATCATGATAAAGACCAGTTTATTTTGTTCGACGACGACAAAGGGAAATACCCCGCCGTCTTCGTAGCCAGTGATGGACGACAATTGACTGTGATAAATCAGTCAGGCCTACAAAGGTGATATGTACAGATATGTTACCGAGGCGTCCTGCCTCTTTTCACTACATGAACTTGACCAGTTGTTACCAAGATACTTGTATCGGTATGCGTGTGTATTAGATTCGATATGTATATGGGCCATTGTAACTTGGATATCAGATAGTTATTTTAGGTTGTGTGAGTGAAGATATATATATAAGAAGCCCCATGCACCCCCCCTGGCCCCTCCTTCACCATCATGTTGCCAGCACCCTCTAGCCTTCCACCCCCAGGTGAGTCAGTGTCAAAGAGCAGGCTCTCGCTCTTAATGATACGAAAGGACCCATGTAGCTCACCTGTGGAAAATTAAGACATCCCAACAGGTATGCTGGAGGTCGGGATTCAACATGTGATTAATAGACTCGGTTGCGCAGGCAGACACTCTGTGATAACAATAGATCAGTCATGAGAATGAAATGCGACGCAAGCAGAAGCACCAGACTAGTCAGAAGGGGAAATACGTGCACAGTACAGCCTTAGATAATGTTGTCATAAGTAGTCCTTGATTTTTTAGTAATACGTATTTCCTTAGAATACGGAGCAGTATTTCTCAGTTAAACAGCAAATGGTGAGCCATATAACAGCAGGCTATTCTTAATGTTTATAAATATATATGCCTCTACGCACCTTCTATCACTCAGAGAATCATGATACTTCAGTGAAAATTCTAGCGATGCTTGTCGTAAGGGTTTGGACAGAAATCGTAAACTTTTCGATTAATTTTGTGACCATCTGTATTTCGATGTCTTTATATCCTCTTTGGTTTGTTCGGTCACATTATTTTGATTTTGTCCCCCTCCTTATTTTGATTTTTTTTTTTTCGTTTCTCTACGTATCTTTCTCTTTCTTTATTTCTTTCCTCCATTCCTCCTTTCATCATCAGAATCACCATCATCCTCATCACCATAAGGGCATGACACTTTGTTAACTGGCTCGAGAGTTTGATGACGTCATGATTGATTTCAAGGACGTCACACCATATCGCAACGACCTTCATTCATCAAAGCAAGAATAGATAGAAAACCATTCATAATCCTGACTACTGTTCCTATCCTAATCCCTCACTTCTTCACATCTCCTTTCATTTCAAAAGTAGCACTTCTTTGACATTTATATGATTTTTCTTTTCACATTCTGAAATTCATTAAGTTGTAAAGTGTATTCAAATTAACACTTTCTTTCTCTTCCGTGTAGATTTTGCAAACCAAATTCATCATTGAATTAGTGTAGAAGAAACTGTAGAATACATTTCTTTATGCACCATCTATATTAATTCCCCAGAAACCTGAACTTAAATTTTCTTTATTCTTATAAATTAATTTATTGATCTAAACATTATAAAGTTTATTTATTTATCTGGTCATCTATTCACCTAGTTGTTTATTTATTAATTTCTTCATATTAAGAGATATAAGGATATATAGTAATTGGTGATGGGGGTGCCAGGGTGGCTACGTGCCCCCCCCCTCCCTCACATGCAACTAATCTCTTGCTTTATATAAAATTTTCACATCCTTGTCTCTCACATGTATACAGAGAATTTGGGACTAATAAATGTATTATATCAACTACTTCGTCTTTCCTTTCTAAGTATCTGGAGAATACTTCCACTTACGTTATTCTAATTAAATACTAAAATTGTGTAGATCAAACCAAATATATGGCTAATTACTCACAAAAAAAAATATTTGACAAGATTTTGCTGTGTATTGTATGTACTGATGTAAGTAAAGAGTAAAAAAATCTACAGTAATTATCACACTGATCGTAAATGAATTGTTAACAATTATTATTATTATTACTACTATCGTTAGCCTTATTGAAGTTACTATTATCACTATCATTAGAATCAGCAATACAATTATCACGAAATGTACAAGTAATTTTCTCTTCGTTATATTAAAAAGGACAATATGAAAGTAATTACTGAGGCTATTAAAAAATTCCCAGAGCAACCCGAATAGCGAAGAGCGGGAAACTTTTATATTCTGCAAATTTGAAGAAACTTATTGTTACCAAATGAGAATTTTGCTGACTAGGAATGATAACAGATCCCTGAAGCAATATCAATGATAATAATTTATCATCACTATTTGAAGTATTTATGATAAATATAATAGTGATGATGAAGATGAAGATGATGATGATGATGATGATGATGATGATGATGATGGTGATGGTGATGGTGATGGTGATGGTGATGGTGATGATGATGATGATGATGATGATGATGGTGATGATGTGAGTAATAAACTGTAATAGTGGTAATGGAATAACACAAACTAAAATAACACCCGTCAGAGGAATATAACTTATATTTTCTTATTTTTGAAGTGAATGTACACATATGCATCTTACAATATGGTACTAAACAGAAATAAACATGTCCCCAAACAAATGACAGACACTGAGAACAAGAGAATCAGAGGCACATCTACACGACCAAATCAGCCGCATTTGCACCCAATATCACACGCGTCCGAGTGTTATATTCCCTTTAGATAATTATTCATATATGTATGAGTATAAGCAGAAGAAAAGAGTATGCCCAGCGCTTCACGTCTTCCTGCCGAAGCGGAGATGGCAGAGAGGGGGAGACTCCTGCGGCGCCCACCCGGCCTCCTCCGCCGACGTCCGGACGCGCGTCTCGTACTCGGCTACCTGGGCGTCGGTCAGCTCCGGGAACATTCTGGAAGGAGGTTATGGAGGAGGAAGGAAGAATCTCAGGGGGGGGGGACGTTGCGAAGATGGGTGTTGTGAAGGAATTAAGGGATTTTGAATTGGATATTTGGATCCGGGAACATTCTGGAAGGAAGTTGTAAAGGAGGGCGCTGTGAAGGAAGAGATTTGGAGGGATGGCGTTGCAAAGGTGGATGTTATGAAGGAAATTAAATGGTCTTTTAGCACGAAGTATTTGCTTTTCTTTTCTTTTTTTGCGAAAATAAACAACTGTGGCATGATTTGAGTATATTGATTATGTTAAACAAAATAAAAATCAGCGAGTATTGGGAGACCCATGACACAAAACTGTCAAAAAGGAAAGGCATATATTTCCTATCAAAGAAGGAAAAATCGCTGAAGAGGAATTACCTGGCCGTTTCCAGTAGAAGTGTCGTTCCTGGGAGGATGTGGGCACTGGCGAGCGAGGGCGTGAGAAGGTGCGCCGTCGCGACGGAGAGGTACACCATGTCCAGCCCTCCTTGAATCTACCAAGGGTAAACAATTACCATTTACGAGACAAATAGATGGAAATAGAGAGAGAGAGAGAGGGAGAGGGAGAGAGAGAGAGAGGAGAGAGAGAGAGAGAGAGAGAGAGAGAGAGAGAGAGAGAGAGAGAGAGAGAGAGAGGGGGGGGGGGGTAGATTTTTATTCATTTCACTTATCAATTTTCTAGTCTATACATACATACACGCACACGCACACACACACACACACACACACACACCACACACACACACACACACACACACACACACACACACACACACTCACACACACACACACACACACACACGCACACAAACACACACACACACACACAACACACACACACACACACACACACACATATATATATATATATATGTATATTCATTTATTCATTTATATACAGAGGTCCATCAGCACATCTCCTTATGTGCCTCTCTATCATTTAAACTGCTCTCAAGTACTTTCATTAACCATCTCACCTCCGATAAAGAACTGAGGTCATTCAGGCGTGTTGGAGACAGCAAAACCACCTCCACGCCCTCCACTCTCAGGTAGTTCTCGGCAGTCCTGTGTTCCTCGTCCTTTGTTGAAGACTGTGACGAACTGGACAGTTTCTTGCCCGGGCGCGAAGGATCTGATCTTGATTCGTGTGGTTCATTAAAATCATGCACTCCCTTATGCATGTCATTTTCGATCTCTTTACCATTGCTGTCCTGCATAATGTTTTCTTTCGCTCTTTCTTCCTTTTCCTCTCCCTTTTCTACGTCATTCTGTTTTTTCGTCATCTTCCCTTCATCTTTTCTTCCTTTCCATTCATGTTCCTTACCGTGTTGGTCGTCTCGTGACTTAGCCTTTGACTCATCATTTGACACTCTGCTCGAATCGTTCTCTGAACTACTATCTGAACCGCTAAATGAGTCATCATTCAAACTGTTACTCGATGAGTGATTTGAACCACTCTTCGATGCATCACCACTCGACCCCGTTTTTTCCCCAACGCTTAATCCCGTATCCGTTTCTCCACTGGATCCACTGTTTGTCCCACTTGATCCCGTACCAGTCCCATCACTTGATCCACTTTTTGTTCCACTTGATTCCTCGCCCGATCGACTCCACTCACCGCTCGTTCCATCACTAGATCCACTTTTTGATAAATCCCGGGATCCATCCATGCTTTCGTCAGTCGACCCGCTTCCACTCGATTCAATGCCCAATTCGTCATTTGATTTAGAATCCGTTTCATCATTAGTGCCACTGCTGCGGCTGGCGGGAGCGTCGCTTGATTTGCTGCTTGTTTCACTGCTTGAGTCACATATCGCTTCATTTGAGTCACTTTTCCACAACTTTTCCAATATGTTCTCCAAGTTCCACTGAGCAATCTGCGTACCATTCTGTAAAATAATGATGAAAATCAATATATATTTGAGGGAAAACTATAATCCATTTAACAAAAATGCCCCTTCCAAAGAAACAGAATCAAAAGAATGTCAGCGAATTTTGCGAGACATATAGGCACTGACACATTTGCTTCTCCCGTTCTCCTTCTTGGTGACCGAAGGGGAGGCGGAGGCGAGGGCCAGGGCGGGGAAGGGGCCGCTCAGGACGTCTCCCCAGTACCCGACGCGCCGGTGCCGGGTGCAGCCGTCGTGCACCGTCGCCACTGCAGATATACATGATTTTAGTAAACATACAAATTCATTAAATACGTGTGTGTCTGTGTGTGTGTGTGTGTGTGTGTGTACACACACACAACCATTTATCTAGCTATATACATATATATATATATATATATATATATATATATATATATATATATATATATATATACATATATACATATATCTTTACATATGTATGTTATTTATTTACACATTATATATGTATGGACGTATTCATATGCATGCATGGAGGTATGTATATATGTATGTATCTATATATGAAATCATCTCCCTCACCTGACGCCAGAGTGGTGTTGGCCAAGATGGGCCTGGAATCGGTGGCGGTCACGAAAGCGTGGCCACACTCCCTCCACTCCAAGAACTCCTCTCCCCATCCCGCCCCCACGCCCACATACCCGTCCTTATTATCACTGACTTTCCCCTCGTCCTCGTTCTCCGCAGGCCCGTCTCTTTTACCCCCGATCACTCCCGGAAGTTCCTGAAGGCGATATGCCATGCGCATGTGCCACGCCCACTCCGCATCCGCTTGTCGGTAATCGTATCTCGTCTTGAAGAGCTGCCGAAGCCTCACATCCCTAGAGGAGGAGGGAAGGAAAATGGCGTTCTTAAGAGGCAAGGCATCTTATGTAGGGTCATCAGAACCGCCATTTTTATTTGATTTCTAAAAGTCTGTATCTTTGCATCGAAAAGTCAAATTACTCGAATATGTTTTGCCAAATATCTTCTGAAAATGGCTGTACTCGAATTAAAACAAGCGGGGAACACAATCCCAGGGAGACCAGTACAGTTCTCTTCAGAGAGAGTTGTTTCCCTCACGAACTCACCACGCGCGGGGTGGGTCGTAATCACGCTGGGAGAGTGTATACCACGACCTAAAGACTGCATCCAGAGCGTCTCTCTCTCGGTACTTGAGGCGGGTATATATATATATATATATATATATATATATATATATATATATATATATATATATATATATATATATATATATATATATATATATATATATATATATATATATATATATATATATATATATATATATATATATATATATATATATATATATATATATATATATATATATATATATATATATATATATATATATATATATATATATATATATATATATATATATATATATATATATATATATATATATATATATATATATATATATATATATATATATATATATATATATATATATATATATATATATATATATATATATATATATATATATATATATATATATATATATATATATATATATATATATATATATATATATATATATATATATATATATATATATATATATATATATATATATATATATATATATATATATATATATATATATATATATATATATATATATATATATATATATATATATATATATATATATATATATATATATATATATATATATATATATATATATATATATATATATATATATATATATATATATATATATATATATATATATATATATATATATATATATATATATATATATATATATATATATATATATATATATATATATATATATATATATATATATATATATATATATATATATATATATATATATATATATATATATATATATATATATATATATATATATATATATATATATATATATATATATATATATATATATA